TCGAAGACACCTCGCTGGGCAGGCAGGAGATCCTTAAAACAGAACTGTCAAAGCAAAGAGCTCGTTTCCTTGGCAACACTCGTGGTGGAGATTGGCCTTAGGGTAGGAGCTAAAAAACATGCTCAGAAAAGTGGTGAGCAGCTGCTCCCCGTCCGAGGGGCCGAGAGCCCTCAGACACGGTCCCGTGCCGGAGGTGAGATGAAATTTTGGGAGGTCCAGGGCTGGGAGATGAAGGGAGATGGACAAAATGGGGTCCTTTGGGGCAGGAGGAGGATGCCCCAGCCCTGGAAGTGTCGGAGGCCACAGGATGGACGAGGCTCTGGGCAGCCTGGAGTGGTGCAGGGGGTCCTGGAGGTCCCTCCCCACCCATCCCCTGATCCCCCCAGGACAAGAGGGGATGGGGCCAGGTGGTCCCTGCCTGCTGATGGGAGGAGGAGGAGGGCTGGCTTCCAGAATTCCCAACCTCCCTGGTTCCCCTGTGGCTCTTTCTCCTTTTGGGGACTCCAAAGGAACTCTGGCTGCTCAAAGGCGCCAGCGGCACCCGCCTTTGTGCAGCTGCCAGCGCTGCAGGCGGGAGCTGCCGCTGCTGTCGGAGGGCTTCCCCGGCCCCCACAGCAACTGGATCCATCCCAGTGCTCTGCAGAGGCTTCACCCAGCCCTGGGGTGAGCGGGAGAGCGATGGGTGTAGGGTGGGGAGAAGCCCCCCCGGAGCAGGGGATGCTCCCTCGAGGCGCAGCGCGGGGGCTTGGAGGTGAGGCGCATCCACCCCATCAGCTGAGAGCTTCGGGCCCGTTCCCTTCAGCTCCTTCAGCTGCTGCTCATGGATTCGGTGCTAATTACTGGCCTCGTTTCAGCTGCTCAACCCTGGTGAGGTGGCAGGCAGGGCTGACAGCTCCCCCCCGCAGGGAGGTGACCCCCGGTGCCCTGCAGCAGCAGCCAGGACCTTGGTGCCCTCGGAGCTGCAGGATGCTGGGGATGATCCACGGGGTGCTGTGGGTGAAGACACTGGGAGAAGCCCAGCAAAGCCCCAGGGTTCAGGGCAGGCTGTGACACGGAGCTGGGCTCTGTCCCTTCCTGGGAACTGCTCCTGTGCGTGCCCAAGGTTGGAGAAATCAGGTGAGACATGGTGCTGGGACATGGGTTGGTTTAGGTCCTGCTCGGGGTTGGGAGCAGGCTCCTCAGGGCCATGTTTCCTTCTTCTCCCAGTGAGTATTCCTGTCGAAATGTCACCTGGAGATTAAACCCCTTGCTCTGGGGGAAGGCTCGGCTGGAGGCGTGGGGCTGGGAGCTGGCAGAGGGACGTTTTGGCACCAGAGGACGCAAACCGTGCTGCGGGATGGGTTTGTCCCCGTGGCCGTGAGGCAGATCCTGGGAACCTTCCCAAAGCACCCAGCTGCCAGAGCTCCTGTGGCTGTCAGAGGGGTCCAAATGGCACCAGGCAGGAGGGGACCCGGTGCTGCAGGATCATCACTGCCAGCAGGAGAGCACCGCAGAGGGACCGGGATGCATCCATCGTGCACAAAAACCCCGCATCCTCCGCAGGCGTGCGAGGAAGAGGAGCACAGCACCGAGCAGATGCATGGAAACCGGAGCAGGTTTCCCCCTCCTATAACAAAATCTGGAGCGAGGCAGCTGCTTGCACGGAGGAGCCTGGAAGCCGGGCTCTGGGCGGCCCAGACTGTGGATTCGCGCGCCGCCCGGATCAGCCCGCGCAGCAGATGTCGGAGCCGTGCCGAAAACCCACCGGGCTCAAAGCTCTCGAGCAGCTCCCGTGGTGCCAGCCGTGTGCTTTGGGATGGAGCATCCCCTTCCATGAGCTGCGGGACCAAAAAACACCCCTTGGAGAAGAGGCGACCTGCCCCAGGAGTGAGCACCTGGATGAGGACACCGAGGTTTTGGGGAGCACCCAGACAGGGCTCACTTCTGGCTTGGGGAGCCAGGAGAGATGTGAATATCGTTTTTCCCCACATAAATCCAATTGCAGCCCCCTGCAAATGTGCACAGGTTTAATTAATGAAGCATTGATTTTTCTGGAGCGTGGTGCCTCTCTAATTTCCCTGTGCCAGCCAGGATCTGGAACGAGCGCAGGCAGCAGCTCGCAGCCAAAACCAGGTGCCCGTGGTGCTTTGTGGGGTGCCCGAGCATCATTTTTGTCCCTCTTCCCGTGGGCCTGGCCACCTCCTTCAGGAGGGTCCCAGCAGGGCAGCCCCGATGGTGCTCTGGTTCCTTGCAGCCCTCGCTGCTTGCTCACACGCCTCGTGCCATTATGGGATGCCAGGAGGTTGGGCAGGGGCCCGGGATGGGCAGTGAGGGAGCGGAGATGGAAACGCAGAGCTGTGGAGCTGAGGATCTGCTTCCCCCTCCTGGAGATGCTGGAGAGGAGCCCCGAGCACCAGGAGCCCTGCTTTGTGCCAGGGCCAGGCAGGACATGGGGGGGCCTGGGCTGGCCCCACAGAGCAATTTTGGAGCCCCAAACAGCACAGCGGGCTCGGGGTGCCCACGGTGGCGCAGCCGAGGGATGCTCCGTGCCAGGGCGAGGGGCTGGCACCAGCCTGGGCTGTCAGGTGGCAGCAGCTCTGTGCTGGCAAGGTGGGCACGGATGCTTCCCGGAGCATCCAGCACCTGTCCCCGTGCTTGTGGGGGCTGTTGGGACCCGGGTGCCAACAGGGACCCAACCCCAATGCTCTCTGCTGTCAGTGCAGGGGATGCTCCGCACGGTGCTGGAGCAGTCACGGTGCACCAGGCGTCCTCCTGGTGCTCAGTGTCCCCTCCATGGGGTGGCAGCCTTGGTCCTTGTGTCCCCAACCCTCCTTGCTCATGTCTAGGGACAGCAGAGTAAGGAGGGTCGGGGACCTTGCTTTGTCCCCTCCCTGTGCCATCGCAGGATGGGACAAAGCCCCCTGGTCCCGTGGTGGTGGTGTCCCGGTGCTGCCAAGGGCCGGCAGGTTCCAGCCACGGCGGGTTTTAATTAAATCAAGGCAGCCCAGCCGTGCCCATCTGCTCGCCAAGCTGTCGGGCACGGAGGTGAGCGAGGATCTGGGTCGTGGCAGCGCGGCTCTGCGGCACCGGGACCTCTCCGTGGGGTCGGGGACATCGGGGCTCTGCGGCACAGGTCCCTGATGCCACCGGGGCACGGGGCCAAAGCAGGGGGAGGAAATCTCCGGGGTGGTTTCCGTGCTCGGGAGGGGGGTCCCAAGGTCAGGGTGCAGGACCCAGGGGGGTCTCTCCACTGATGGATGGTGGAGCTGGGCAGGGGGATCATGCCGAAATGCCAGGGGGTTTCCAGGACCCCGGGGCCATCGCATGCTGGAGGCACCGCAGGCACCCAGTGCCCCCATCCTCTGCTGAGCCTCTCCCCGTGTTAATACCTTAATGAGGCCAGCGCTGTGGCAGGCGATGGTAATTGTGTTAATTAAGAGATTGTGGGTCTGTCCTCTCCTGTGCGGGTTTCATGCCCTGTCCTCAATCGCGGCGGAGCGGGAGCGCTCTGAGTTTGGACAACAGCGGCTTGGAGCAGCCTAATCCCCTAATTACGGTCGTAGCAGCACAAGAGCATCGTTAACCGAATTAAAACAAGCCGACAGACATCCACCCGCTCCCCAGCAGCCTTTGTGCACCCAGCGTGAGCCACGGCAGGGGCACAGACACCACTCACCGGGCACCATCCCCAGGATCAGACCCCGCAGACCCTCTGGAGAGCCACCGGCACACGTGGGGACCGCGGCACGGGCACGGGGACCACGCTCGAGCAGGCTGGAGGTGCACCAGGGCAGAGCATCCGTCACGGCTAACAGCTCAGGAGCCCAGGCCAGCGCGTGGCAAGGATGGGGAGGACTCGGTCAGCGCCTATAAATATCCGTGAGGATGGAGATGGGAAGCAGAGGCTCCTCAGCTGGCTGTTAAACCCGAGCAAGTGGAGAGGAGCGGAGTTTGAACAGCGGGCGTGAAGTACAGGCGGCGGTGACGGCGATTTCCTGGGGCTGGAGCAGGAACCCTGAACCCTGGGAATGTTTTTAATCCAAATGTGATGCGTCTCTGGGAGATTTTAATTCTTGAGTGCCCCCAGGCTGGTACGAGTGGGGTTTCACACGCTTTCCAGCCTGGAGTTTCCTGGAGTTCAACATGGGCCTGGGAAGCCTGGAGTCCTTGTCCCCAGCCCTGATCTCTCTGCTCCTTCCTGTTCCCTGCGATAGCCTTGGGGAATTTGCAATGTCAGCAAGAGAAAATATTTCCCTTCATCACTCTTGGGCAGAAAATGGAGAAATTCAGCCCAAAACAGGCTGCTTCTGCTAACTGGAGCTTCTCCCCGACAGCAGGGAAATGAAACCAGGGCTGTGCTGCGGGTGCCTGGGGCAGGATCCCTGAGCCTGAATCCAGCCAAAATTTGAGTGCCGTGATGGAGAACGATGCTTTGTGAAGCTGCATCCAGCTCAAATTGCAGCGGGGTTGGGCTGCTTGTTGCGTGCGACCTCCAGGCTGGGCGAGCGTCCCCCTTCTCCGTGGGGCAGCTTGGCTCGCCGGCACGTCGGCTCTCCCAAAATAGCCGTCCTTGGGGCAGCCAGGGGTTATCTGATCCTCCCGGTGCTCCTCTCTGCCCTTGGGCTGCGATGTCTGCACTAGGGAAACGCAGCCGGGGAGGAGGTGGAAGGGATGGGGAGGACCGGGGAGCAGCAGCACCCCCGGCAAGGGACACGGTGACCTGCTTCAAAAAGCAGCTCTTGCTGGAGGCAGGGCTGGAGGTGGACAGGCAGCCGGGCATCCCATCGCGTGGGTCTCCTGCCAGGGTCTCCTGCAGCCTCCCTGGGCACCCCGGCTCCGTTCACCAGCATCTGGCACCCCCAGGGGCCATGCACGGAGTGCTGGAGCCCCACGTGTCCCAGGGCTTTGGGGACAGCGCTGTGGCCCCCTCTCCCTTCCCTTGGTCACTCAGCGATGCTTGCACACCCCGGGGAAGAGGCGATGCTGGGGGGGCTCCTCTGACCCCTCTTTTCTGCGCCCAGAGAGCCAGCCCACGACGTCGGATGAGACGGTGGTGGCCGGCGGCACGGTGGTGCTCAAGTGCCAGGTGGAGGACCCCGACGACTCCTCCCTGCAGTGGTCCAACCCTGCCCAGCAGACCCTCTACTTCGGGGAGAAACGAGGTGAGTGCGGGGTTAAAACAGGAACCGGGGAAGGAGCCCGGTGCCCCTGCACCTGGTGACACTGTCCCTCATCCCCCAGCCCTGCGAGACAACAGGATCCAGCTGCAGAGGTCCACGCCGAACGAGCTGACCATCAGCATCACCGACGTGGTGCTGGCGGACGAGGGGGAGTACACCTGCTCCATCTTCACCATGCCCGTGCGGACCGCCAAGGCTCTCGTCACCGTGCTGGGTACGTGCTGGTGCCCCCCTGCCTCTGCCCCATGTCTGGGACACCAAACGGGTGGCCGGTCATCCCTGCCACCCCACGTCCCAACCCGTTAACACACCCTTGTCGCATCCCTCCCCTCGCATCCATCTCTGGACAGCAGCACGCACGGAGCTAAGAGGTTGTTGTTGACTTTCTCCCCTCCTCCTCCTCCTCCCCCCCCAGGAATCCCCCAGAAACCCCAAATCTTTGGCCACGAGCAGCCCATTGATGAGGAGAAGATGGCCCGGCTGACCTGCCGCTCCTCCGGCAGCAAGCCCGCCGCCCAGCTGCGGTGGAAGAAGGGCAACAAGGAGCTGAAGGGTGGGTGCCGAGGGCTGGGGGGGGGACTGGGGGCACCTTGGGGATGGATAGGGCACCAGGGGCTGTGGATGTGCCCGGTGCTGGACCACACCAGCACCCCGCTCTGCTCCCAACGATGGGATGGGGACAGGGCACCCCCTTGTTTAACACACGTGCCAGCCCCGTCCCTCTGCAGGGGCGCTGTGACCGTCACCTCCAACGGTCCCCTGTCCCCACAGCCGAGGGCACGGAGGTGGTGGAGGACCCCAACGGCAAAACCTTCACCGTCAGCAGTCGGGTGGAGTTCCGTGTCACCAAGGAGGACAACGACGCCGAGGTGACCTGCACGGTGGACCACGAGTCCCTGCAGAACTCGGAGAGGTCGACCACGCAGAAGCTGCAGGTCCACTGTACGTGGCACGTGGGGGACAGGGACACAGAGGGGTGGCCCCCAGAGCTGGGGGGGTGCAGGGAGGGCAGGGCGCTCACCCCCCCCGTGCTCCTCTTGCAGACAAACCCACGGCGAAGATCGAGCCGCACCCCCTGTACCCACGGGAAGGCGAGAAGCTCCAGCTGCAGTGCGACGGGCAGGGCAACCCCGTGTAAGGACCCCCCCTCGCTGCTCCTTCCCTGCCGTGCACCCCAAAACCCTCCCTGGGGCTGGGGGGGGTCAGGTCAGAGCAGGGTGATGCCATGCACCCCACAGAGGACAGCAGCAAACCCCCACCACCCACGGTCACTCCCCAATCTCCCCCTTCCCCCGGGATGCTGTGGGGGGGCCACGGAGGTGCCTGACCCCCCCCTCCCCTCCCACCCCGCAGCCCCCAGGAGTTCCTGTGGGAGAAGGAGGGCAGCGACGCGCCGCTGCAGCTCAGCTCCGACAGCATCCTCATCTTCCCCTTCCTCAACAAGAGCGACAGCGGCACCTACGTCTGCACGGCCACCAGCTCCATGGGCAGCGTCGTGGCCAAATACAACCTGGACGTCAGTGGTAAGGGGGCTGGGGGGGGCCACGGGCAGCCCCCGGCGTCGCCCACCTCGGCACCACGGCACCGTGGAGCCGTGCACGGGTGCTGGGAGCAGGTGGGAGAGCTCCGTTGTGCCATGGGGTGGGCGCATGTCCCGTGGTGTTTGGGGTGTCCCCAGCTGTTGGGGTCGCATCCAGCCCTTACCGTGCCCTTTCCTGCAGCCGCACGGAGCTGCTGGATGGGGCTGGGGGGGCAGAAAGAAGACTTGGGGGGGCACGGAGCAGGCTGGGAGGGGTTGAGGCAGGGACGTGGCTGAGCTCTGTCCCCGTCCCCTGCGATGGGGAGCGCGGTGCTGGGAGCACTGGGGGTCTCCAGGACCCATCTGGAGCCTCTGGAATGGCAAAAAAAATGGGAGCCCGAGCGGGTTTCCAGCCAGCGCCAACCCCTCTGAGCCACGGGGTGCCCTGGTGGCCCCATCCCAAGATTTTGGACGCCGACCCCATGGCTTACCCCGAGCTGCAGGCTTGCCTCGCATCCCGTGTCCCCAGAGCCCGTCCTCGCAGGGGAAGGGGCAGCCCCCGTCCCCTCGCCACCGCTGTCCCCTCGCTGCTTGCCCCTGCCCTGGCCGTGCTCTGCCGCCCTGCTCGCTGTCACCGTGCCCCGTGGGCCGTGCGCTCCCCCTGGCCGCGCTCAGCACCCAGCCCCTCGTCTCGGTGGGAGTCTTGTCCTCTGCTTTTGGCCCTGGTTTTGGGGGTTTTCCTCCTTTTCTACGTCCTCCTCTTGTCATCTCCCCACTCTCCACCAGCCTTGGGCTTCCCATCTTTCAGCATCCTCCATGATCCAGCCTTTCCCTTTTCCCATTTCTTTTTTCCCTCTTTTTCCCTTTTCCCATCCCTTTTTCCCTTTATCCCTTTTCCCTTTCCCTCCTTTCTTGTTCTGGGCACCCTCAACCCCTTCCCCTCCGAAATGGCTGTGGGTGACAGGAGCACGCGGCAGCGATCACCCCTGGGGTCAGCGTCCCCTGAGACCCTCTGCCCACCCATGGGGAGCCCCCAAGCGTCCCACAGCGTGCCGTCTGTCCTCGGCAGGCCCTGCTTGGTCACCTTGTGGCCCCATCACCCCTGGGTACGGGGTCAGCACAGGGAGCTGGCTCCTGCACCCACCCCGGGGCACTCAGCGCCCACCCACAAGGCCCCCGATGTCCCCAGCCCGCTCAGTGCCACCACACCCAGCTCCACCTCCGGGCTCGGTTCCCCCCTTTCCAAATTCCCCCCTCTTTTTCCCCCAGAGCATCACCGGAGCAGCCACCCCACGCCACCCAAGTCCCCGAGGACACACGTGGGAGAGCGGAGGTGGCCCCACGTGCTGGGTCACCCCGGGCACGAGGGTCCCACGGGGTCCCTCGCGGGGTGACCGGGGGTGTTGGCAGGTAGGACACGGGAAGGTGTCCCCACCGTGACCCAGAGGACGGTGGCAGGAGAAGAACTGGGGTGGTGGAAGGAACCCGCAGAGAAAAATGGGCTCCCACCACAATGGGGGAGGACCGAGGTCCCCCCCCCGTGGGTGCTGTCCCTCCCAGGGGTTGATTGGTGTCCCTGTGTTCTTGTCGTCCTCCCCAGATCTTCCCCAGCTCCCCACCCCACACGTTCACTCCACTCCAGCCCCTCCGCCGGGCCCTTCCCAGCCCATCTCTCATGCTTCTTCCATGGCCACCGCCTCATCCTTCACTCCAGCTCCCGCCCAAGGTACCGTAAGCTCCATTTCTCTCTCTTTACGGACCCGCTGCTCCCCGACCCGGCCGGAGACGCTCCGCAGGAGGACGGTGGCAAGGGACACCCGTGCCACACCCCAGGTGCCCCACCAGGCTCCAGTCCCATCGTAGCATCTCCTCCCATCCCGTTCCAGCGGGGCGAAGCACCCCGGAGCATCCCTCTGACATCCCCACCCACCCAGAGCCGCTTCCCCCTGTCCGTTTGTCTGTCTGGCGTGGCCACTTGTGAGCTGCAGCCCGTCCGTGTGAGCCTCCCACCCTTTCCTCCGTCTTCCCATGTTGTTTTTTCCACCTTCCGAGCATCACCTCTCAGCCCCGTGGCTCCGTCCCCTCCCAGCCCTCGGGGACGGTGACAGCGGAGCAGTGGCGCAGGACCAGGGCGCACACGTGGCGAGGGTTACCCACGGCAGTGCTCACCCTGCAGGGCTCCCCGACACCCATGGCCACTGCTTCCCCTTCGCTGCATCCCCCCTGGCTCTGCTCCTGCCCCCTCTTCACCTCCACAGCGCCTGGGTCGAGCTGGATGTGCCCACCCGGAGCCCCGGGTGACGCACAGGGTGAGCCGCACGGGGACCGCAGCACCCCCTCCTCTCTCTCTCTCTCTCTCTTTGCTTTCTCCCTCTCTGCCTCCTGGGCAGACGCCAGCCCGGTGCCGTCGACCTCCAGCACGTACCACGCGGTCATCGGCGGAGTGGTGGCCGTCATCGTCTTCCTCCTGCTCAGCCTCCTCATCGTTTTGGGACACTACCTGATCAGGCACAAAGGTACGGGGGAATCAGCGCTCCCACCTCGCCGGGGTGCCCGGGGCCAAGGGAGGCTGCTGCGCCCATCCCGCAGCCCTGCCCCACATCCAGAGACACCCAGCACAGCCGATGGAGCCCCCCCAAGGATTTGGGGGACTGCTCCCCACCTCCGTGCTGGCCCCGGTGGAGCTGGGCAGCGCCGGGCAGAGGCAGCTTCGTTCCCCATCTCCATCTTCTCCTTCTTGGCACCCGCAGCCCTGCAGTGCCCGTGCCACTGCCCCGTGCCTCATCCCCCTCCCCCATCCCTCCCCCTTGAGCCTTCCACCTTCCTCCTCCTCCTCCTCCCGGATCCATTTCCACCCCCCCCACCCCTGGATTTTCCATCCGCCCAGCAGGTGTATGCGTAAGGCACGGGGAGACGGTCACAGCCAGCCAGGCAGCAAAGCCCAGCAGAGGTGATGTGTGAGTAAGAGCCCCCCCATCCCTGCCCCAGCCGCCTCGGCTCCCGGAGCTGCAGCCTCCTTTTGCAGGAAAACCTCTCAGGGGAACGGGGACGGGGGGTGCGGGGGTGTGGGGGAGGCAGAGCCACGCAAGGAAGCGCAATTTTTCCACCGGCGGCGTGAGCTGCTCTGAGCAGCCCAGGTGAGGCTCAGTCCCCGGGCAGGGTTTATCCCGGGGGAAGCCCAGCGATTTTTCCATTTCAGGCCAAACCCAAAGGACTTCTCTCGCCTCCGTTTCCCAGCCAGCACGGCCCCTCCGTGACGCTGTCCCCTCTCCCCCCTCCCCAGGTACCTACCTGACCCACGAGGCCAAGGGCTCCGATGACGCCCCGGACGCCGACACGGCCATCATCAACGCAGAAGGCGGCCAAGCCGGCGGCGACGACAAGAAGGAGTATTTCATTTAGGGGCATCGGAGAGAGGGTGAGAAATGGAGCCAGCAAAACCCCGATGGAAACGGAAACCAGACCACAAACCCCACTCAACCCAACAGATTTTCTCTGGCGCCCGGCACGGGCAGACAGACGGACGGACGGACGGACAGAGGGATGGCAGGACAGAGAGCGGAGAGCGACCGGCCTGAGACGTGATGCTTCTTCTTGAACTTGTACAAAACGTTATTACTACGAACAGCGAAAGCCCCGGCCCCGTTTGCTTGCTTGCACCTCCATCCCTGCGACCGGCGCTCGCGCGAAACACAGACCAACCAGTGAGTGAGCGACTTTCCTTCTTCCTTTGGACCTTTGCTTTGGTTTCGTGGCTGCTCTTTGCTTTGGGCCCTCGGTTGGGATGTGGGGCTGGGGTCGATGTAGCTCTTTCCTTTGTTTCTCTCCATTTTGGGTTTATTTTTTGACATCCAAGGATAAAATCAGATCCAGGCTCCAGCACGAGCTCCGGGCAGCCGGGTGGCCTCTGCGTCACCAGCGCTCGCCCCGTGCCTCCCACCAGGAGCTGGGACCTTCTCGTTGTGTGTCCCCCACCCCGCGATGTCCCCGTTCTGCAGGACGGGGATGGGGAGCGCTGTGGACCCCCCCCCTGAGTCCCTGCCTTGATTTTATCCTTGGTGGTTCTTGTCGAACAGTGTCCATTTGGGAGGAGAGCTGTCCTCGTGCCGTAGGTGTGCGAAGGGGGGTGAGCTTCCAGGGTGGGAACCGCCAAAGCCCCCGGAGATGCCGGGAGCCGCTGAGCACCGCGGCTCCCCGTTCCCACCCCAGCGGGAGGGGGGAGGGCAGGGGTTTTGGGGGCAAATCCAGAGGAAAAAAAAAAAAAAAAAGAAAAAACAAACAAAAAAAGCCCCAGTTTGCAAATTGTCAGATCGGAGTCGTCAATTCAAACCATCTATTGAGATGTTCAGTGCAGGAGGCTGCTGGGCACAGCCCGCGGCCGTCACCAACCACCTCCTCGCTGGGCCCCGGGAGCTTGCAGGAAGGTGGTTTAGATCCCCAGAGCGGCTTTGGGAAGAGCCGACGCGGCTCCACGGAGGTGAGCTGGGGTCCCCCTGGCCCGTGCTACAAGCTGGAGACCACCAGCACCACGCCGCAAGTGGCCCAGAGGCGGTGCGAGGCGTGGGCTCCTCCTGGGCCAGGAGATGGGCTCCATCGGGTCTGCTCCTCGGAGCTTTCTGTGCCCCCCCTGTCCTCCCGGCCCCTTCCCGGGGCAGGTGCTGAGCTGGAAAAGGTCTTGTTGGCTCCAAGGGCTGCGGCCAAAAGCAGCCAGAACGCCCGGGTTTTGTGTCTCGGGAGCTTGGGGGTCTCCAAAGAGATTTGGTGGGCACTTGTCCAACCTCCAGCCTGTTTCACCCCAGGGGAAACCCCATCTCTTCCAAGTCAGACGGAAACCAGAAGCTTTCTCCAACCTCCCCACTGCATCCCCGGGGTCCCCGTGCTCCCCCCAACCCCACATCCACGGGGCCGAGCCCCCTGTGGAGCCAGGCCCCTTCTCTCACCCTTGGGATGAGGCTTTGCCGCCCCCAGCATCGCATGGTCTGGATGCAAGGGGTTCACAGGAGCTGCCCTTTGGCTTCCATTTCGGGGTGTCCGGGGGGGGTAGAGCCTTTTGGGAAGGAGCGAAAGCCCTCGGTGGGGTGGGCAGCCTCATCTCAGAGCTGAAGGAAGAGCCTGGTTCCTCTGCAAGGTGCCCCTGGGGCTGGAAACGTGGCTCCCATCCAGCCCCCGTGAGCTGGGCAGGAGGAGAAGGGTGGTGAGGAAGCCACGGCGCTGGGTTCAGGTGGGAGCAAGGGACACGTTGGTGGCATCCCTGGCACGGGCACGGCCGGCTTCACCGCGTCATCGGCAGGGCATTATGCACCGAGAGAGAGGCACGGAGCCTTCATCACCCCCCGGCGAGGAAAACCTGCGTTTTTCTCTGTGTTGTCCCTCCCCATCCATCTCCTTGGAGGAGGAGGACGTTGGCCTCGGGTCCCGCTGGGAGCCCCGAGCTCCCTCCGAGGGACGCAAACGTTGCTGCCGGAGGTAACGCCGCGACTGCCGACGCCGGTAACGACTTCACTGGGCGCACTGGCCTCTAACACCCGCTACCAAACAGACGCGATTCCCTAAAATAAAAACGCAAGGACGTGTTCTCAAGTACCAGTCGCTCTCGCTCCAGGTTTCCATGGCGCAGATCATTACGAAGGAGATGCCCTGAGGGTCCGGGAGGGGTCCCCAGGATGAAAGGACGTGGGGATTTGGGGTCGGGCAGGTGAGAGGAGCCAGGATTAGGGCATCGCGAGGAGGTGCCGCGTTGTGGGGAGCGGGGCAGGACAGGAGAGAGGCCCCCGTGCCAGGGGGATGTGCACCAGGTCTGAGGTTGGGTGGGGGACACGGGGGGCAATGGGGAGGCGCAGCCCTCATCGCATTGGGGCCATGGTCTGCACATGGATGGTGACGCCGGGTGCTGGGGCGATCACCCACACCACGTCCCGGGGTCACCGGGGGGGTCCGGTGGCTGGGGGCACCGTTTAACAGCCCCACATCGGGCTCAGCACGGCTGGGGAGCGAGGGGTGGTGCGCGCTGCGCTCTGCACGGTGCCAAGGGGGCCACGGGGACGAGAGGTGACGGGGTCACAGCTGGAGAGGTGCTCCCAGGACGGATGGCAGCAGGACACGGGGTGTCACCAGTGGGACACCTGTGTCACCAGTGGGATGTGCCGTGGCACTAGCGTGGCTGATGATGGGGACGAAGGAGCGATGGGGCGCGCCGTGGCACCAGCACGGGGACGTGAGGGACTTGTGGTCACAGGGGAGCGGACACCAGGCTCCTGTCCCAAGCTGCTGGCACCCGGGGAGGCCGGGCAGCATCACGGCACGGTGGGGCACGAGCCACCTCCCCAAGCCCCGGTGTCCCCTCCTGGAGCACAGGGGCCCCGTTGGCCGCGCGGACAGGGGACCCCCGGCCCCGCGTCCACCACGTGCCACCAGGGCATCTGAAGCGGGCCAGGGTTTGGGGCACGGGCACTGAACTCTCAATAGACCACGAAAGCCATATTTGTGCGGAGCTCTGAGCACGCCGTGGGGTGGCCGTGGGGCAGGGCAGAGGACGGGCTGTGTTGTTGTGCTGTGTTCTTGTATGTACATAAAAGGGAGACAACGAACGTCGATGTTACTTTATAACCTTTCTAATATCCTGTGCTAATCTCGGAAAATAATCCTATAAATATATCTGGATTACACACCTTAACCTGGCTGCTCGTCTCTGCGTCTGCCCGCGTGAGCCACGGCCGTGCCCCCCCACCTGGGGTGCAGGGTGAGAGGGGGGACAGGAGGGGACAAGGGGGGGGGACACAGCTCACCCCAGCGCATGGTGTGAGGGGGACATCTCAGCTCATTGCACACCCCATGGAGACCCCCTCAGCCCCCACCCCCAGCCCACCTCCTCAGCCCCCCCTAAGGATGCTCCCACCAAGGTCCCCAGGGCCACCCGGTGCCACCAGAGCCCGGCACAGGGGTTGGTGACAGCCCCTGGTGCCACAGGGTGACCCCAGGTCCCCCGCAGGATCTGGCATCCCCTGCATCCTGCACCCCAGCACGGGGCTGGTGACCCTGGGGTGGGAGTTTTCCACCCAGCAACGGGAGCATCCGCACGGGGCACCGGTAAACAAAATTCCTAAATGAACCTGAGTCGTTCTGCCAAGAAATTATCATTTCCTGCTCGAGAAATGATCACGCTGGCAGCTCATGGGTTTTACCGGCAGCGGTGGCCGCCCGTTTCCTTCGCTCCTGGCGTCCTGAACATTCACCCCGGCCTCCCCAGCCAAGGTGGGGAGGGAGCAGTTATCAGAGGCAGCCCTTATCTCGGCCCCGCAGTCCTTCATCCCCGTGGAGCCGGAGGAGCAGGAGCGAGCAGGAACGCGTGCGCCAGCGTGCGCAGCACCCACTGGAGAGCGCGCGTGGGTGAGCGTGCACCGGCGTGCAAGGGCGCACGGTGCCCACCGGCGAGCACGCGTGGCCGAGCTGAGCCACCCCTCGCAGCGCCTGGAGGAGCAGTTAACAGCCCGGGGGACACATCATGGGCAACTGCATCCCAGTGGTGAGTGCTTCTCCCTGCCCCGCTGCTTCCCCCGCCCCCCTTCCACCCCTTTCCCATCCTGCCGGGTGCTCGGAGCGGGTGGTTTTCTCTGAATTTCAAAGAGAAGCATCTCGAGGTGAGCCCGCTTCCAGCTTTTCCCCACGTCTGCTGAGCTTTTCCCTTCCTGCACTGCCCCAGCACCTCCCAGCACCCCCAGTGCCCCTGCCCATCTCCCCCAGCCCTGGTGGGTGCCGGGTGCTGAGTCTCGGAGCTGGGAAATGCTCACTTACAGACAGCACCATTGGCTTTGCACCAACCTCGGAGGCTGTAAGGAAATTTGGGTTTTCCTGCACCTTGTGGCCAAGCCCACAGCCCCGAGGTATCAGCACTGGGCAGACCCCTGCACCCAGGGTGTCCCTCCCCGATAAATGCCGCAGGCGGATGCGCCAGCCGTCGCCACACACACTTGGGTGGCAGCTCCAGAGCAGGACAAACCCCCCCCGGCCATCAGAGGGGACATTTCAGGTGCCATCCCTCAGCCGTGGGGGCACCTGACACCCCCCCGATCTCCTCCTCAGAGCCCCAAAGTCCTGCAGAACGAAACCTTCGTGGACCTGATGGACCTCCTGGGCAACTTCACCACCGACGAGGACTACCTGATGGACTACTCCTCCTCCGAGCCCTGCCACAACGCCTACTGCCCCTTCTTCCAGCGCGCAGCCCCCGCTTTCCTGGCCACCACCTGCGTCGCCGCCGCCCTGGCCACCGGCGCGCTGCTGGTGGCCTTGGCCAAGCGTCCCCACGCGTGGCCGTGCCACCGAGCCCTGGTGGCCCAGCTGGCGGTGGCGACCGGGCTCTTCGCCGCGCTGCTGCCGGCGGTGGCGGCAGGCATCGTGCAGGGCTGGCGGCTGGGCGCGGGGGCTTGCAAGGTCACCCAGCTGCTGTGGCACTGCAGCGTCTTCGCCCAGGGGCTGCTGGTGGCCAGCGGGTGCTGCAGCGGCATCTGGAGCCACTGGGAGCCCCGCAGCCAGCGCCTGGCTGCATGCATCTGGCTCGGGGCGCTGCTGCTGGCCGTGCCGGCCGCGCTCGCCGGCGGCACGGTGGCGGCTCCGGAGGCGAGCTGCATCCACCGAAACGTCGACGTCTTCTCGCCCGTCTACCTGCTGCACCTGGCTTCGTGCCTCTGCGTCTTCCTGCTGCTGCCGGCCACGCTGCTGGTGGCCACACTGGTCCGCGCAGGGCGAGGAGGGGGCTGGGGGTCCGGGCTTGGAGCGAGTTGGCTTTTCTTCGTGCTCTGGGTGCCCTACGGCGTGGGGCTGGCCGTGGATTTCCTCCTGTACGCCGAGGTGCTGCGGTACACCTGCAGCATCTTCGAGAGGTTTGATTACGCCCTGGGGCTGTGCGAGGCGCTGGGGGTGCTGCACTGCTGCCTGGCGCCCGCCGTGCTGCTGGCCACCGGGCTCTGCCACCGCAAGGTGGACGCTGACGGCGGCTTCTGAGCACCCCCGGCACCCCAAAACCAGAAGCTGGACCCCGGCACCATCCCCAGGGGGCTGGCAAAGCCCAGTTCCCCATGGGTGACATTGGTCCTCCGCCACCCGTGGGTGGCATTGTCCCCCCAGCACCCTCCCCTCCTGACCTGTGACCACCAGCAGTGCCAAGAGAAAGCCTCAGCGTGGCCACCAGCTCCATCGTGCTCCTTTTTGGGGGTCACCACCAGGCTCTCAGCACCCTCAGACACCCCGTTTGGGGCCAGACACCCCAATTTGCACAACGGCCATGTCCCCGGGGTACCCGCAGCCCCTCGGGAGGGGTCAGCCCCAGCAGACAGGGCAGCGGCAGCGGGGTTTTATTTATCCCCACGGGCGCACCGACGGGGGGTTATTGGCTCTCTCCCCACAAGCCGAGATGAACGCCCTGTCTGTGATCACCCGGGGGAGATTATCTGCAATAAATGAATCTGCCAGAGCCGCACACGGGGCCTGCTTTAATGGGATGAGGGGGGGTCCCCAAAACCCGTGCTCCACACCCATCCTCACCCTCCCCTGCTGCTGCCCACGCCGTCGGCTTCCAGTGAAAGCTGCTGGGCACGGAGGTGGCCGGGATGAGGCCCTGGGGGACGGGGCAGGACAGGGCAGCGCTTCCTGAGGATGCCCGGCCCCGGTGAGCGCCGGCTTTGCAGCGACATCCATCACCTCCGGCCGCTCCTCGTGCCTTCAAATTAGGGGGAGACGTTAACGAGGCTGGAGCCGCTCTCCCCGGGTCGTTAGCAGGAAGCCGGGTGATTTATGTCTGGCCCTGGAGGCATTTGGCTGGGGCTCATCCATTCCCATTAGGGATGGCCACGGTCACGAGGCGCGCGGGTGCCAAAGAGCCTGGCAAGGAGCTGGAGCAGCTCAGGGCGGGGGGAGAGCAGGGAAAGGCACCGGGGGTCCCCAGCCACCCCCAGGGACCAGCACCCAGCATCTGACCCCCGAGGGGCTGGGGGTGTCCCTGCTAAAATAAGGGAGATTGAGCCCAAAAAGGGGTTGGGCGCCCGCAGCCGGGTGCAGCCCGGTTTCGCCCCCCAAGCCCAGACCTCCCCCCCCCAGCCCTGCACCTTCATTGCCGAGCCCAATTTGCCCCCACGCAGCCCCCCCAGCTCCTCCAGTGCCTTCATGCCATGTCTCAGGCTGCCCCAGGGGTGGTCAGGGACGGGTTTGGATCCTCGTGCATCCCTCCGGCCATCCCCACAGCACTGAAATCCCCCCGCTCCCTGATCAGCCCGCCCCCCAGCCTCAACCACCCTCCGAGGAGGACACAAGGACACCCTGGGAGGACGCTCAGCCCCTCGGAGGATGCTCAGACACCCTGGGAGGACACCAAGGCTGCAGCAGACCCTCAGCCTCTCGGGTTTGCCGCGGTTTCTTCTGCCACCTGCTGCCCACGGCTCCGGTCCCAGCCTCCGTCCCTTTGGTCTCGATGCAGGGATGGGGCCAGCAGAGCCCAGGGACGTGGCCAAGAGCCGCAGACGAGGGACAACGGGCGCCTTTGGGCTCAAATTTGGGAAGTTTTCCCCGGGGTTGCGGTGGCCCGAAGCTGCACCGGGGCACGCGCCCAGGGCACGGCTCCAGGGGAGCCCCGTGCCGGTGGTGACGCAGGGCCTCGTGGCCCCATGACAGCGTGAAATTGCCCCCTCCGGGCCGTGCCAGGCTGCTGGGATTGGGGGACGCCGCTTCCCTCCCACCCAGGGCAGCCGATAAACCCCTGGGTGCCAGCACCCACCACCACACCCAGCACCATGGGCAGCCTGCGGCTGTGGCTCGCCGTCCTCGCTGGCCTCAGCGGTGTCACCGCCCAGGAAGGTAGGGGGACAGTGGGGGGACCAGGGCTGGCAGCGGGGTGAGGAGCAAGGAGATAAGAGCCCTGGGGTGTGGGGACATGGCAGGTGGGGCAGTCAAGGGGGTCCCATCCAGATCCCCATCCCTGGGGACACCGCGGTGGCTCAGCCCCATCCGATGCCCCCAGCCAGCTCTGGGAGCCTTTTGGGGGATGCTGGAGCACCAAAGGCACAGCGGGGACATCCCCCAGGGGGGGTAGGCTCTGAGACCACCGCATCCCTTCTGTCACCCTCCCCCCAGACCTCTACCGAAAGGTGTTCGTTTTTCGGACCGACCCCAGCGATGCCTACGTGGTGCTGCGGGCGAAGCTGGAGCAGCCGCTGCTCAACTTCACCGTGTGCCTGCGCTCCTACACGGACCTCACGCGGCCCCACAGCCTCTTCTCCTACGCCACCAAGGCGCAGGACAACGAGATCCTCCTCTTCAAGCCCAAGCCCACCGAGTACCGCTTCTACGTGGGGGGCAAGTCCGTCACCTTCCGCGTCCCCGAGAGCCGCGGGGACTGGGAGCACGTCTGCGCCAGCTGGGAGTCGGCCACCGGCATCGCCGAATTTTGGCTCAACGGGAAGCCCTGGCCCCGCAAGGGGCTGCAGCGGGGCTACGCGGTGGGCGCCGAGGCCATGATCATGCTGGGGCAGGAGCAGGACGCCTTCGGGGGGGGCTTCGACGTCTACAACTCCTTCACAGGCGAGCTGGCCGACGTCCACCTGTGGGACACGGGGCTGTCCCCAGACAAGATGCGAGCCGCCTACCAGTCCCTGCGCCTGCCGCCCGCCCTGCTGGCCTGGAGGAGCTTGAGCTACGAAACCAAGGGGGACGTGGTGGTGAAACCGCGGCTCCGGGAGGTTCTGGGGCGCTGAGAGCCCACCTCAGCCCCCGCTGTCCCCTCGCTGTCCCCTCGTGCCTGGCAGAGTCACCCAGGGGTGCCCCTTCCCTGCCCAACGCCCCCCTCGTGCTGTCAGTGGGGCCACTGACACCCAATTTCATCCCCTTCCAGCATTATAAATAAATCAAATACACCAGCAGCAACACGAGAGCTTCTCCGTGCGAGGCTGACGGGATGGGCGTGAGCAGAAATAAATTCCTGGGGATGTGGGGGGTTAAAGGGGGGCTGGGGGGGGGCTTTGGGCAGCTCCCCAGGGCTGCAGGACGTGTCGGGGAGGCTGTAGCAGTAACCGAAGGGCACGGATCCATGGGGCCGGCACACACCTGGAATAGCAGGAATCATTTGGGATGGGCACACGGGGCTCAGGGCAAGCCCCCGGGGCCACGTCCCCTGTCCCCACACATGTCCCCAGGCTCCCCGCCAGCTCGCCGGGGCCACGGCCCCTGAAGCAAACCCGTCCCCAAAGGCGTTCAGCAAACATCCCCTCAGCGGTCAACGTCCCCAAGCACTTGGTGACAAAGGTTGGGGGCAGACATCACACCACAGCGCTCTGCTTCCCATCCAGGGACGGTTTCGGCCCCCGGGGACGCGGCACGGTGGCTCCCGGGTCCCCCTCGTCCCCCACAGCGGTGCCGGTGCCTGGGTTCGGGGGGTGCGTGGGGACATGGGGACACCGCAGCTCCGCCTCCTCGTCCTTGTAGGGCTCTTCGGCCTCGCTGCCCTGGAAGGTAGGGGTAGAGGGGCTGCGCCAGGAGCCCCCCCGGGTCCCACGGGGAGAGGGGAAGTGGTGGAGGGTGCAGCAGGGGGGGAAGGCAGCGGGGATGCAACGCCGGTGGAGGCCACCCTGAGGTCTGATGGGGCTGGTGGTGGAGGCCACCTCTAGATCTGGTGGTGGAGGCCACCCTTGGGTTTGGTGGTGGACGTCGCCCTTTTTCTGGTGGTGGAGGCCACCCCGGGGTCTGGCGGTGCCCTCCTTGCTGCCATTTCACGACCCCGTTCCCCCCAGGGGGATCTGGCCGGATGCCATCCCGGTGCCAGGAGCAGCCCCTTCTTTGTCCCCTCTCCCAGACCTGGTGAACCAAGTGTTCGTGTTCCCGTGGGAGACCAAGGACTCCTACGTGGTGCTGCGGGCGAAGCTGGAGCAGCCGCTGCTCAACTTCACCGTGTGCCTGCGCTCCTACACGGACCTCACGCGGCCCCACAGCCTCTTCTCCTACGCCACCGAGACGCAGGACGACGAGATCCTCCTCTTCAAGCCCAAGCCCACCGAGTACCGCTTCCACGTGGGGGGCAAGTCCGTCACCTTCCGCGTCCCCGAGAGCTTTTTGGGGAGCGAGCACGTCTGCGCCAGCTGGGAGTCCCCCACCGGCATCGTGCGCTTCTGGCTCAACGGGAAGCCCTGGCCCCGCAAGGGGCTGCAGAAGGACTACGTGGTGGGCGCCGAGGCCGTGATCCTGCTGGGGCAGGAGCAGGACGCCTTCGGGGGGGGCTTCAAAGCCCGTCACTCCTTCGTGGGGGAGATCTCGGATGTCTACATGTGGGACAGGGAGCTGACCACCGGGGAGGTGGGGGCCGCCATGTACAACAGCCCCTTGCCCGCCCCCATCTTCGGCTGGAGGAATTTGCCCTACAAGATCCACGGCAAGGTGTACCTCAAGGGGTGACCCCAGGGCCAGCCCTGCCCTGCCCCGAGCGGGCTGCGATTGCCACCGGGGTCGTGTGTCCCCATGTCCCCATGTCCCTATCCCAATGTCCCCATCCCCGTGTCCCCATCCCCATATCCCCATCCCAATATCCCTATCCCAATATCCCCATCCCAATAACCCCATCCCAATGTCCCCATCCCCGTCCCAATGTCCCCATCCCCATGTCCCCATGTCCCCCTCCCCATCACCACCGTGTAACCGCCCAGCACCAAATAAATGAAGAAACGGGGTTGAAAAGCAGTGGCCATGGAGGATTTTATCCCTGGGGGGGGGGGGGCACAGGAGAGGTGTCCCCCTTGTCCCACCCTGGGGACAACCCCCCCGTGGCCCCTCCGTGAGTACAAATGGAGCAGGGCTGAGTGGGGGCTTCCCAACCGGGGGGGGCCACCGGGGTTGGGGACAAGGGGACGGGAGTGTGTGTGTGGGGGGGGGGACACGGAGATGGCAGCAGGGTGGGGGCAAAGCACCGGGAGGGGGCAACCGGGGGGGGGGCAGCCCCGGTGTCCTGACATCCCGGGGGGGCAGCCCCGGTGTCCCGGTGACCCTGGGGGGGGCAGCTCCGGTGCCCCCCCCCCGGTCACTGCAGCCCCGGCACCGCCGCCGCCGCCTCCCGGTGCCGGCTCCGCTCCCTGCAGCCGCTTCCGGGCCCCGGCTCCGCCACCCCCCCACCCCGAGCGGCCTCCCCGGTACGGCGGGGCCCGGGGGGGGGGCGCTGGGGGGGTCCCGGGGCCGTTCCGGAGGGGGCCGGGCCCGGTGCGGGGGCCCCGGTCGGAGCAGGCCGCGGGGCCGGGCCTGCGGCGGGGGCGGGCCTGTGAGCGGGGCGGGGGGGGGGGCACGGGCCCTTTTGGGGCCGGAATAAGCAAAAAGGGGTCCGGGGGGGGGGGGGGGGTCCAGGGGGGGCTGGGGGGGCTGGGCCCGGTTGGGGGGGTCCGGGGGTTCGGGGGGAGCCGGCCCGGGGGGCTAGGGGGGTGGCGAGGGGGGGCGGGGGGAGGTTGGCCTGGGGGTTTGGGGGGGGGGGGTAGGGGTTTGGGGGGCTGGGGGGCCCAGAGAGCATGGTCAGGGGGGTCTGAGGGGGGCTGGGGGTCCTGGGGGGGTCTGGGTTAGGGGTGTTGGGGGTCATGGGTTGGGGGGGGGTCCTAGGGATCTTGGTTGGGGGCCTGGGGGGCCTGGGGGGCCTGGCCTGGGATTTTGGGGTCTGTCCAGGGGGTCCTAGGGGGCACAGCCTGGGGGTCCCGGCCCTGTGGTGCTGGGGGGTCATGGCTGGGGGGTCCTAGGGAGCCTGATTGGGGTCTGGGGGGTCCTGGGGGGCCCTGCTCTGGGCTCCTGGCTTGGGATCTTGGGGTCTGTCTGGAGGGTCCTAGGGGGCATAACCTGGGGGTCCCCTCCCTGTTGTGCTGGGGGTCATGGCCAGGGGGGTCCCCAGATTTTGACCAGGGTTCCCCATCCCAGCCCCCTCCCCAGGGTGCACGGCAGCTCTGGCCCCCGGTGCCGGTCCCCGCAGGTGATGGTGGAGCCCCCCAACTTCTCGTGGGTGGCGGAGGGGCGGCTGGCGGGGCTGGCGATGCCGCGGGAACCGGGGCATTACCGGTTCCTGCTGGGCCAGGGCGTGCGGCACCTGGTGTCCCTGTCGGAGCGGCCCCCCCCCCACCACGGCTGCTGCCCCGCGGTGCAGCTCCATCGGATCCGCGTGCCCGACTTCACCCCCCCGACCCCCGGGCAGATCCAGAGCTTCCTGCAGCTGGTGGAGGAGGCCAACGGCCGTGGGGAGGTACGGCCCGAAGGGGGTGACAGCAAGGGGGTGGCACCAGGAGGGAGGTGGCACTGAGGGGGAGGTGGCACTGAGGGGGAGGTGGCATCGAGGGGGAGGTGATGTCCAGGGGGTGATGCCCAGGGGGTGATGCCCAGGGGGTGATGCAGGTGGCAGCGGTATGGGGTGGTGATGCCAAGGTGAGTGGCACCAAGAGGGAGGTGACACCAAGGTGGAGGTGGCACCAAGCAGGAGGTGACACCAACAGAGAGGTGACACCAGGAGCGAGGTGGCACCAAGGTGGAGGTGACACCAAGAGTGAAGTGACACCAAGGTGTAGGTGAAACCAAGGTGGAGGTGACACCAATGCAGAGGTGACACCAAGAGTGAGGTGACACCAAGAGTGAGGTGACACCAAGGTGGAGGTGACACCAGGGTGTAGGTGACACCAAGAGGGAGGTGACAACGAGATGTAGGTGACACCAAGAGGGAGATGACACCAAGGTGGAGGTGACACCAAGGTGAAGGTGACACCAGGGTGGAGGTGACACCGAGTGGCAGGCGAGGCCCTCACGGCTGTGCCGGCCAGGCGGTGGCGGTGCACTGTCTGCTGGGCCACGGGCGCACGGGCACGCTGCTGGCCTGCTACCTGGTGAAGGCGCGGGCGCTGAGCGGCGCCGCCGCCATCCGGGAGATCCGCAGGCTGCGGCCGGGCTCCATCGAGACGCGGGAGCAGGAGGAAGCCGTCATCCAGTTCCACCAGCACCTCAGGTAGGTGCAGCCCCCCCCTCACCCCCCCAGGGGGGTTCCTGTGCCGCAGAGCCACGGCTGTGGGGTCTGAAAGCCCAAATTTTGCATGGATCTGCCTCGCCGCACAGCGCTGGAAGGGACCCCGAGGAGGCATGAGCTGGAGTTTCTCCCCGAGCAGCGTGTGCCGGATGGAGGTGGAAGGAGATGCTCGCCCTGATGTCCTGGGGGAGCCTTGCCCAGCCCTGCGGTGCCACCATCCACCCCGTGTCCCCCCCCCCCATTAAAAGACTTTCTTTCCCGTGGCTCCTTTCCACCTCGTGGTTCAAACACAACCCCTGCTGCAACCCCCCTGTGCAGCTATCCAGGTGACCTGGTGCCATCCCCTAACGCCACGGCACCAAACCTCCATCCCCAGGCATCCCCCGACAGCCCCCTCGGGGCGCCCCAGGTTTGGGGACACCCTGCGGCTGCACCCTGAGGTGCTGCGGGGACCCCGTCCCGGGTCTCAACCCCGCGAGCCCCGGAGCTGGTCGCTCGCCAAAGCGGCAATGCCGTGCAGCCACGTCAGCGCCCCAGGGCCGGCCCGGGACGTGGACGCTTAAACGGGAGCTAAGCTGGAATTTAGGCATCTCCGTCCAAAAGCCCAATCCTGAAAATCTCTTCTCAGCTGCTCCTAACCTTGGTGGCACTTAAATCCGGAGTGCCAGAAGCGTCACCGTCCCCGTTCCCGTGCGCGGGGCACATGGCCGGGAGCATCCGGCACGCGCCGGGTGCCAGCACGGCCCCTGCTGGGAAGGTTGGGGGCGTCTGGGGGGCTGTCACCTCCACCAGGCAGCCCCAGTGTCCCCAGACATCCCCCTGAGACCCCAAAATGCCATCATCGTCCCTCAGAAATGACACGCGAGGGTGGTGGCTTGGGGTGGTTGGGAGCCAGCAGGGATGGGAGGAGGGTGGCCGTGGGGACGCGGGCACCCCAAAGTGACACAGAGCTGCCCTCGGTGCCACCCTGCACCCCGGGTTGGGGTCTTGGGGACTGTCCGTGTCCGTCCCCCATGGGTGACACCATGGCCCCATGTGGGGACAAGGGACATTTGGGGTCACCCATCTGCCTGGCCCCATCCTGGGACACGAGCGGCTGGGGCGAGGTGGGAGGGGGAAAGGCCCCGCGTGGAGGATTTGGGGACACGAAAGGGGACGGGGACGGGGCAGCGAGGTCCAACCACGGCGCCTAAGCCCAGGGAGCCGCAGGGCTCCCATGGGGCTGCGAGGTGCCGGAAAGCAGCTTACCCGCAGAATTACTGCCTTGAACAAATCTCACTTTAGCTCTGGCCTTAATAGGCTCCCGTGCGCCGGGGGCCACACCGGGACTGGCCAAAAGGGGGGCACGGGAGGACCCCCGTCCTGGGGATGGGGTCGGGACAGGGGGCTCAGCACCAACGTCCCCGAGCGGTGATGCAAAGAGGGACCCGGCACGGCCCCGTGTGGCTGGGCAGCACCCGGGGGGGCCGGGACACAGGGGGGTGACCCCACACCAGTGCCCCCAGTAGCAGAGCCCCCGGGGCTGGCGGGCGGCCCAGCTCCGGCTCAGCCCCGCGGGCTGGGGACACGGCTCCGGTGGCCGTAGGGGACGGGGTGAGGAGGGGATTAGAGGGGTGACGGCTGGGGTGCGAGAGGGCACGGGGAGAGCCCCGGGGTGGGGGCGGTCACGGGGGGCGGCCGGGGGTTGGTGGCGGTCATGGGTGTGCCATAGGGTGGCACGGGTGGGGTGTCCCCAGCACAGGGCTGGACATGGTGTGGCACGGCATGGCACACACCAGTGTCACACACCAGGGTCCTACACCCGTGTCACCCACCTGTGTCCCACACCAGTCACACACCAGTGTCACCCACCAGTATCACTCACCCACGTCACCCACCAGTGTCACCCCCCAGGGTCCTACACCAGTATCACTCAGCCATGTTCCATACCTGTGTCACACACCTGTCACCCACCAGTGTCACACACCCATGTCACCCACCTGTGTCCCACACCAGTGTCCCACACCAGTCACACACCAGTCACCCACCAGTGTCACATGCCAGTGTCACACACCACCCACCAGTGTCACCCACTGGTGCCACACACCAGTGTCCCACACCCATTTCCTACACTGGTGTCCCACATCCGTGTCACCCACCTATCACCCACCAATGTCACCCACTCGTGTCACACACCAGTGTCACCCACCAGTGTCACCCACCAGTGTCACCCACCAGTGTCACCCATCAGCGTCACCCATCAGTGTCCCACACCAGTGCCACCCACTGGTGTCACCCCCCAGTGTGTCACACCCATGTCCTATACTGGTGTCCACACCCGTATCACCCACCTATCACCCACCAGTGTCACCCACCCGTGTCCCACCCCGTGTCACCCACCCCTGTCCCCTCCACCCCCATCCCCACCCCCCAGAACTACACCTCCCATCACCCCCCGCGCCTCCCCCTCCCCTCCCCGCCCCGCTATTGGCCGCCCGCTGCCGAGCCAGCAGCCAATCGGCAGCGCGGCGGGGCGGGGCCTGCCCAAAGCCCCGCCCACCACCGTGGCTTTGGCGGCGGCCGCCCGGTGGCGGCGGCGCGGGGCGCGGAGCGGAGCCGCGGGGCCCGGGGCGGGCATGAGGAGCCCCCAGCGCCCCCCGGCCGGGGCCAGAGCGCCGCGGGCAGCCCGGCCGAGCCCTGCCGAGCTCCGGCCTTGACCCCCCGGTGGCAGCCGGTAACCGGTCGCCGGTGCCCGGTGATCTCCCCGCCCGCCCCTCGGTGGCCGCCTGTCCCCCGCCGCCACCGGGAGCAGCGGGCCGGGGAGCTGGGCTATGCGGTGGTGGCTACGTGCGGCCTTCCTCAGCCTGCTCGCCGGCACCGGGGCTGAGGGTAAGGGCACCGGGAACCGGGACCGGGAACCGGGATGGGAACCGGGGACCGGGATGGGATGGGATGGATGGGACCGGACAGGGTGAGACGGGATGGGATAGGAAGAAATGGGATGGGATGGGAGGAGGGGGCGCGGTGCCACCCGTGCTCCCGGTGCCACCGGTGTTACCGGTGCCACTGGTGTTACTGGTGTTACTGGTGTTCCCGGTGCTCCCGGTGCCCCGTGCAGGCAGCGGGCCGAGCGGGGCCGTGGTGGGCCGCGTCGGGGACAGCGCGGTGCTGGGCTGCGACCTGCTGGGTGCCCGCCAGAGCCGCCCGCCGCTCTACGTCATCGAGTGGGTGCGCGTCGGCTTCGTCCTCCCCATCTTCATCAAGTTCGGCCTCTACTCGCCCCGCGTCGACCCCGAGTACCTCGGTGAGTGGCACCGGGGGCACCGGGAGCACCGGGCACCCCGCTCGGGATGGATCCCCCACCCTGCACCCCTCGGCCGAGTGAGCTGCACTCGGGGAAGGGATTTGGGTGAAGCCACTCGGTGGGGCCGGGATTCGGGGCCAAGCGGGGCCGCGGCGTGGGAGGCCGCTCCTCGCCCCCACCGGGTGCTCGGGGCCAAATTGGGGGGGGCCCGGTCTGACGGGATCCGGCCTCGGCGGCCGAAACTGCCAAAAAAATGTGCCGCAGGTGGAGCCCGGCCACAGGTAGGGGTGAGGAAGGAGCCGCCAGCACGGGGCAGGAGCAATTTTGGGGTGCTCCCCACTGCCAGCGCCTTCCCGGGTGGCTCCGTGGGATCGGCGGTGACACCAAACCTCGCGGTGACACCAAACCCTCGGCACCTGCCTCCCGGGGGCCCCCCGGCTCCCGTTACCTGCGGGATCTCAGGTTTCCCCCCGGCACAAAGGGCTCGGCCCCATCTTGCTGCGCCCTCCCCGCGTCCCGCCAGCCCCCAGCCTTGTCCCCGATGGTGCCACCAGCACCCCAGGGCTGCTGCCACCAGGCTCGGCGGTGGGGACGGAGGGGACGGGGACCCTACAGAGGGGGGCTGCAGGGTGGCAGCTGGCCCTCGATCCTCCCTGGGGGGGGACGTGGGGTCAGGCAAGGGGCCCCCAGGCTCAGCCCCAGCAGCCGAGAGCTCGGAGCAGGCAAAGCGGCTCAGGTGTCACCCAGGAAAGCCCCTGACCGCCACCTGTGTCACCCAGGCACTTTGGGGACACCTCGGGGACAAGGGTGGGCTGCGCCCCTAAAAGCCCATTCTGTCCCTGGGGGGCGATGGGGCCGTTTCTCGCCCCCCCCTCTGCCATCAACTGGTGCTGGTGGTCCCCAGCCGCCGCGTCCCCTTTGTGTCCCCTTTTGAATGGCGGTTGCCAGGCGCTGGGGGATGCGGGGCGGGAGGGCAGCGGCGGTTTTGTTGTTTTTTTTCTGGGGTTTTGTTATCGGCCGGGCGCTGGGCGAGGAGGAGGAGGGGTTGGGGCCGGCGAGGGGGGGATTAGGGAGAGGCTGGGGGCGTCCCCAGGGCTCTCGGAGCCCTGCCAAAGGGACCTTTGTTCAGCAGCCTGCGGGGCCCAGGGCTCCCGGCCCTCGCGCTGCCGCTTGGCGCTGCGGGCACAGGATGAGGCCGAAGGCACCCGGCTACGTCCATCAGCCCCCCCAGACAAGCAGATTTTTTTTTGGGGGGTGGAAGAAACTTGGGGAGCACGTGTTGCTGTGCTGCGTCCGCACAACGCGTCTCCGCGCCGATCCCGTCCCCAAACCGCCCTGCCCGACCAGCCTGCCGGGTCCTGCCGCTCTTCCTCCTCCTTTTCCTCCTCCTCCTCCTCGCTGGGCTCGTCTGGCCGGGTGCAGCACCCATGTGGGGACACCCAGCTCCGGCTGGGGCTGTTGGGGGTGTTCCAAAAAAACTTGATTTGAGGGAAACCCCTGGCAAAGGTGCTGCTCCCGGGCACCTTTGGGTGCTGGTCACCACCGTGGCCCTGCCCCGTGGTCCCAAGGGGCCGCGTCGGGTGAGGGCACGCAGAGGGCTGAGGCTGGGGTGCAGCGGGGTCTGGGGGTGCCGCGGTGCTGAGCGCACCCCGATGGTGCTGAGCCTATTGCCTGCTGCATGCCTGAGCCGATTAAGGCTCTGATAATAGCCTGGGGGATTAGGGGGCTGCGCTCGCTCTTGCTTGAGGTCCTTATCCTCCTCCTCCTCATCATCATCATCAGAGGGGCCGGCTCGGGGCGAGCACCCCACCATCAGGCAGCCCCCTGGTGCCCCCAGAGTGGGCAAGGGGCTCATCCAGACCCCGCAGCACCACCAGGAGCAGGAAGGTGCGGGGGTGCACGGCGTGGCCGGGGCTGAGCAGGGTTCCTGAGGGGGGAGCCCCGGGGGAGATCCGAGCCGAGGCTGCGGGTGCCAAAAGG